TTTGGAACATTTCCCTTTCACAAGTTGAGTGGCATCTGCAATTACCAGCCCTCTAAATAAATAAGTAATCAAAACAATCCTATTTGCAGCATTTAAATGAGCACCTGGATTTATTTATTTATTTTAAATGTGCTAACCCTTTCCTGCCCCACCCTCCTTTTATGCAGTTTTCAAAATATTTATCAGAATATTTCAATCTTCTGATACAAATGGAAATTGACTTTTCCCCGCTTTCTGTTATAGCTCATTTTATATGTACTTTCTTCATAAATGAAAGTTAATCTTTTTATTCTTTTTTCCCCTTCTCATTAACAATGGATATATTGCTATCGCTATTATCTTAGGGTTTTGTTCTTCTTTCTGTCTTTTTCTCTCTCTCCCTTTTTCTTTCTTTCTTTCTCTCTCTTCCTTTGTTTCTCTCTCTCTAGTTCTCTCTCTCTTCCTTCCTTCCTTTTCTTCCTTCCTTCCTTTCACTTTTTCTCTCTCTCCCTTTGTCTCTCTTTTCTTTTCTCTCTCTCTTTCTTTCTCCCTCTTTCTCTCTCTCTCTCTTTCTCTCTTCCTTTCTCTCTCTCTCTTCCTTCCTTCCTTCCTCTCTCTATCTCTTCCTCTCTCTTTCTTTTTCCTCCCTCTCTCCCTCCCTCCCTCTCTCCCTTCCTTCCTTCCTTCCTTCCTTCCTTCCTTCCTTCCTTCCTTCCTTCCTCTCTCTTTCTCTCCCTTCCTTCCTTCCTTCTTTAAAAGCAATAAAAATAAACAAATTAAAACTAAGGCGATACGGTAATCTCTGTTTCTCAAAAATGTGGCCGACTGCCGTGTTATCTGAATGAACTAAAACGCTGGACTAATTTATATTCTGTATAGATCAAAATTCATTACATCTCCTTTAAAGCATTCTTCTCTCATTTTAGTATTTACCACGGAGGGCAAATGACTGCATCAACAATCACATTTATTTCTGAGAGCAGTGGAGAAAGAAACAGCAATCAGTCCTGGTAGCCGATCCAAGGAGCTGATAGCTCCCTCTCTCATTGTTTTTCTAGATGCAAATGCGAGGAATGGTGATAAAAAACAGCACAGGCCATTTTAAAAATTCAGTCACGATCTTTGGGCTCCACTGAGGCCCTTTGGGAGCTGTAGATTATTATTAAGAGGCCACTGAGAAGTGAGAGATTGCTTTGTAATTTGTGGCACTCCATCCATTTGGGAGGGCCTGGCATAATTGACAATTTTGAAAAACATAATTGACAATTCAATTACATGGCCTACAATGCAGGCAATGTTAATTTTGCCATCTCTTTTCAGCACAGAGCAAAAGTTGCTGCATCTCATCTCCTCTTTTGCTCAGTACATCAATTAGAGGCTTCATTGTGTGTGTGTGTGTGTGTGTGTGTGTGTGTTAATCAGGCAGATTGTCCGCATGTTGTTTGATGGTGTTGTGAACTCCATTAGGAAGTTTTACTGACCCAGCTGCTCTGGTTTTAATTTCACTCTGTTTTTCACAATTTACGCATCCCTCTTGAGTCCAAGCTTAATGTGACTTCCAAAATGAGCTAAATTGTGGTGAACAAAGAAGACTACCACAAATTTAAAATCATGGTTTGTCATTGATTGGTTCCTCATCAGTTCCTCATCTCAGCATGTGGAAGGCCAACCTGATTTATGTACAGATAGATGACACTGGAATAGCCTCAAAATTGAGGTCCTTCCGCTTGTATCTGTTCAGCTTCTGGATCTCCATCTTTTCTGGGTTCCTCAGACCAAAATTAGGCCAGCATGTATATATTTCATGTTTATGAAGCATTTTGAAACATATAGAAGTACCCCAACCTGACAGTCACTGCAAATCAATAACACCCAAAAGAATGATTAATCAACGGTCCTACTATCAGCCTTGGTTACATATTTCAAGATCATGTGAAGTGTTAGTACCACTTTAAAATGCCTTGGTAAGACCACACTTCCAGTCTTTTATTAAAAAAAGGTGTTGAGATTCTAGAAAGTATGCAGAAAAGAGCAACAAAGATGATTAGGGGACTAGAGGCTAAAATATATGAAGAACGAATGCAGGAATTGGATGTATCTAGTTTGATGAAGAGAAGGACTAAGGGTAACATGATAGCATTCCAATATTTGAGAGGCTGCCACAAAGAAGAGGGGGGTCAACCTATTCTCCAAAGCACCTGAAGGCAGGACAAGAAGCAATGGGTGGAAACTATTCAAGGAGAGAAGCAACCTAGAACTAAGTGGACAGCCTTGTCCTAGTGGACAGCCATTTAGGTATGAGCCAGCAGTGTGCAGCAACTGCCAAAAAAGCCAACACAGTTCTGGGCTGCATAAACAGAGGAATAGAATCAAGATCACGTGAAGTGTTAATACCACTTTATAATGCCTTGGTAAGGCCACACTTGGAATACTGCATCCAGTTTTGGTCGCCACGATGTAAAAAAGATATTAAGACTCTAGAAAGAGTGCAGAGAAGAGCAACAAAGATGATTAAGGGACTGGAGGCTAAAACATATGAAGAGCGGTTGCAGGAATTGGGTATGTCTAGTATGATGAAGAGAAGGACTAGGGGAGACATGATAGCAATGTTCCAATATCTCAGGGGCTGCCACAAAGAAGAGGGAGTCAAACTATTCTTCAAAGCACCTGAGAACAAGAAGCAATAGAAACTGATCAAGGACAGAAGCAATTTAGAACTAAGGAGAAATTTCCTGACAGTTAGAACAATTAATCAGTGGAACAACTTGCCTCCAGAAGTTGTGAATGTTCCAACACTGGAAGTTTTAAAGAAGATGTTGGATAACCATTTGTCTGAAGTGTTGTGGTTTCCTGCCTAAGCAGGGGGTTGGACTAGAAGACCTCCAAGGTCCCTTCCAACTCTGTTATTCTATTCTATTCTATTCTATTCTATTCTATTCTATTCTATTCTATTCTATTCTATTCAAAGCTCCTGCTTCTTAGACTTCCCTATACTTTATTATTTCCAGTGGGGCTAGATCTCGCTCCTATTCAATTACTTTACTCCTGAGTAATCAGTGGGACAAGTTGCCTCCGGAAGTTGTAGGTGCTCCAAGACTAGAGACTTTTAGACATTTAAGAAGAGATTGGACAACCATTTGTATGAAATTGTTATAGGGTTTCCTGCTTGAGCAGGGGGTTGGACTAGAAGAGCTGAGGTGGCGCAGTGGTTAGAGTGCAGTACTGCAGCTACTTCAACTGACTGCTAGTTCAGCAGATCAGCGGATCAAATCTCACCGGCTCAAGGTTGACTCAGCCTTCCATCCTTCCAAGGTGGGTAAAATGAGGACCCAGATTGTTGGGGGCAATATGCTATTTAGTGTACTGTCTTCGGTGTAAGCCGCCCAGAGTCCTCGGAGAGTGGGTGGCATAGAAATGTTATTGTTATTGTTATTGTTATCGTTATTGTTATATAATAATAATAATAATAATAATAATAATAATAATAATAATAATAATCCTCCAAGGTCCTTTCCAACTCTGTTAGTTTGTTATTTGAGTTTTCTCAAATTCAAAATGACAGCCATTCCAGATTTGGATGACATGATAAAATGAAGAATGAACTGCCATTGTATAGCAAAGACCAAAACTATGGATAAAATGGCAATACATGCCAACTATTAACAATTTACGTAATTCTTGGACATTTTAAGAACTACCATCAACAGTTGGAGATTTTGTAAAAGTGCACACATGTTGAAGAGCTGGATGCATAAGGCTGGAGTCCTCCCAGGTCAGCTTCTCATGTAAAATTAAGACGGAATGCATTTTGTGTAATTTTACTTTTGTACAATGAGTGAATTTAGCCAATTATGGCTTATCCCAGTAAATGGAGTTAAAGAAATTGTGGCACAGGGCAAAATGTGAACACAGCCATAGATTTCTACTTTGTTTGGGCTCCATTATTTTCTGTAATAGCTATTCAGTAACTACAAAAGCTATTTTTCTGGCAGTGAAAGAAACTGACAGATTAGCAATGGTTGTTATCAGAAAGAACTAGAAAATAGGTTTTAGCGTACATTTTCTTTTGCACGGTGGGGACTTGAGTGTCAGTCTTTATTTACAGTCATTAGGGCAGCTTGCATAAGATCAAAGTTCATTAAATTAAATTAAAAACAATAGCGCTCATTCATATGCTACCATTGGCAAGGGATCAAGGCCATAATGCTAAAAGTACAACTAAAACATATTTAACATTCAATCATGTATGGAGATGGGAACTGAACAGGGTTTAGTAACATTCATTATCTTAGAAAAGAACAATCAACTGACAATCAACTGCTTGTGCTAATCAGGCTGTGCTAAAGCTGAAACAGGCTGTTTGCTGCTTGTTGCTTGCTGCAAGGAGGTAAATTACTGGGAGGCAGAGGCCAAAGGGTGGGGGCCAGAAGGTAGGCGGGGCTACATTCGATGTATAAGACGCACCCAAATTTTCACTCTCTTTTAGATGGGAAAAAAGTACGTCTTATACTCCGAAAAATACAGTAAACAGATAATCCTTACAAAAAGGTGTCACTTCCCATCATGGTACCATAACATACATCTACTCTAAAGAGCATGGTTTGAAGTCCAGAAGTCTTAAAGTTGCCAGTTTTGGAGACCCCTGAACATAGAAACTCACTCAAATGCCAATTTCAAATCCACAAATGCCAGGCAAATCTGCCTGGGTGGTAAGTGAGCCATATTTCTTTAGCCAGAGTATTACTCTTATCGGTCTAGCAATTTCCAAAATAAATGTTATGTTCACATTCAGAAAGGCAATTATAATTTTAAACCTGAACTGTTTTTATTACATAGGTATTATACCAGAAAAACGTATATATTTAATATTGCATGTCTTAACAGCAGTGAGGATTATATTCGCAAAACATTGGAAAAATGAAGAAACACCACAAGATGAAGAGATAATTAGGAAGATACTGGATTGTGCAGAAATGGATAGACTCACATTGAAAATTAAACAGAAAGAAGATACAGAATACTTTTTTTTTTTTCAAATCACACCAGCCTGTTTATTGATACAAAGAAAGTACAAATAGTCTTTAAAACTTCTGGAACTGTTTTTTGGTGCCAGCAGCCTTGGTCACCTTGAGGACGTTGAACCGGACGGTCTTGCTGAGGGGGCGACACTCTCCCACCGTCACGATATCCCCAATCTGCACATCCCTGAAGCAGGGAGACAGGTGCACCGACATGTTCTTGTGTCGCTTCTCAAAGCGGTTGTATTTGCGGATGTAGTGCAGGTAATCCCTGCGGATGACGATGGTGCGCTGCATCTTCATCTTGGTGACAACCCCGGAGAGGATGCGGCCCCGGATGGAGACGTTGCCGGTGAAGGGGCACTTCTTGTCGATGTAGGAGCCCTCGATGGCCTCCTTGGGGGTCTTGAAGCCCAGGCCGATGTTCTTGTAGTAGCGGGGCAGCTTCTCCTTGCCGGTGTCGCCCAGCAGCACCCGCTTCTTGTTCTGGAAGATGGTGGGCTGCTTCTGGTAGGCCCGCTCCGTCTGCGTGTCCGCCATCTTGGCCGCGCGGAACCAGAAGATACAGAATACTATCAAACATGGAATTTATTTTACCAGTGGTTGGAAAAAAGGGGAGGAGATTAAGAATGTAATCTGTATTGTTAAGCAAATTAAATAACCAGACAACACGATGTTTATTAAGCACTAAGAAATGTAGATAAAAAAATTAATAAAATTGATTTTAAAAAAAGAAAGAAAGCCAATTATAATTCATTGGATCAGGTCTGTCCCCTTTTTAAAATAGAGAGAGAGAATTTTTATTTTATTAAATTTATATGTTGCTTATTTTGCTATCAGCAATCCTGTGTGGCATGATAGATCTGTTTCGGTCCTCACCAAGACAAAAGTAGTTTATGTTAGGGTCTGATGCAATCCTGGTCAAAGCATGGCTTGTTTTGAGTTTATAGAGCTAACACATAGTCATATATGAAATTAGTATGCACAGAATACCTCCTCAGTGGTGTTTCCATCAAGAAAATATTGGACAAGCTCAGTGGTGAAATTCAAATTTTTTTACTACCGGTTCTGTGGGCGTGGCTTGGTGGGTGTGGCTTGGTGGGGAAGGATACTGCAAAATCCCCATTCCCTCCCCACTCCTGGGGGAAGGATATTTCAAAATCTCCATTCTCACCCCACTCTGGAACCAGCCAGATGTGATATTTGCCAGTTCTCTGAACTACTCAAAATTTCCGCTAGCGGTTCTCCGGAATCTGTCAGAACCTGCTGGATTTCACCCCTGGACAAGCTCCAAGCTAAAAAAAACTAAGACAAGGTCATTTCTACTCTGACCGTCTAACATGGAAAAATCCTGCACAGACCTAAGTAAGCAATCAAGCTTTAAAGAACTTGATGACAGATCAGTGATGGGTATACATACAAACAGGAAACTGTCTCCTTTGACCCCTCTGTAAAGGAATCCATTGAACCAGCTTGTAAACAGACATCCTGTTTATTTGAATTGTATTGAGACATCACCCACGAAGTTCTCCTTCTGTAGGCAGTTTTTTTTTCATTCCTCAAGGTTACTGGCTCCACGCTGTTATCTGAAGTAAACAATCCTTTATAATTAGCTGCACTAGCCTCTATAGGACATTTAGTACTAGCTTCAATTGGCGTTTTCATCATGGAACGGGTGTCTCAGAAATATCCGAGAAACTGCTAGGACATTTCTCATCTTTAAGAAGCATCTGTGGGATTGTTGCATGTTTTACATTGGGATTTGGGGTGGGGTGAGGGGCTTTTGTCAGTATCCAAATTGGCAGCACCGCCACTTTTTTTCAAGTCAAAGCAATAAATTCGGTAGCATAATTGCTGAAGTCAAGAGAATAACATTGCTTTCCAAGATAACCTCTCTTTATCAATTCTTGTATGTTTAATATAAAACATTACTTGAGTGGTGTGACATCTGCAAAGACTGGCCATCTTATCAGAATGTTTTAGAAAAGGAGCATTTTTTGATTTACTACCAACCTGCGAATTATTTTTAGAGGGAGTAAGGGTAGGGAAGTAGGCATAACGGCATGTAGGAATGCCTTGGGAGACAAGAGGAAGATCCACAGTCCATAATCCCTTGTGGGATGGAGTCTGGGCAACTGAATCGAGCTGAATATTTACTGGCCGGATGCCTTTCCTGTCGCCAATGTGGAGTTTTTTTCCAGCAGATATATTCTCAGTGTCGCCAGAGAGAGAAATATCTGCCCCTACCTAAGATCGAACTCACAGCCTCCTGATTGTAAGGCGAGAGCTCTGCCTCTAGGCTACCGCACCACTAGTCCAGACCACTGTCTGATAAATCAAGTTTTAGTCCACAGGTGGGATGGGGTGCAAAAGAGAAAGAGAGAGCAAAATTGAGTTGATGGACTGATTAATCAGTTAATGGACTGATTAATCACTTTTTAAAATGCCAAATACACACTGCAACAAAATATTGTGGCATGGGGTATTCTACTTCTATATCCTCTAGGTTCTTCTCTTGGGTCCCTAGATACTCCCTAGTTTTCAGGACAGTAAATAGAGTAGGGGGTGGGGCGGAAAGTGCTTTTAGACTTGCAAAATTCTGTTACTATAACTGTACAACAGCAATAGCATTTAGTCTTATATACCACTTCACAGTGCTTTACAGCCCTCTCTAAATGGTTTTACAGAATCAGCCTATTGCCCCCAACAATCTAGGTCCTCATTTTACCGACCTCGGAAGGATGGAAAGCTAAGTCAACCTTGAGCCGGTGAGAATTGAGCTGCTGGCATTCTGCAGAATTAGACTGCAATACTGCATTCTAACCACTGTGCCACCACGACTCTTTATAAAGGTAGTGTTAGTCCTCATGATTCGTACTTCTTGTCTGGACTGCCTCAAAGCACTAATAGTAATCTTGCATGTCAAAAAGTACCTGTCCCCCTCCCTTATATTTACCCTCTTGAAAACTTGGGAGGGTCCCTTCTTAGATGTTTTCTCCACTGCCAATCCTTACCCTGTTTATCTTTGTTATCTGAATTCATCCTACTGTTTATTCCATAAATTTACTTAAATGAACTATGGCTTAGTGCAACAAATGTACCAGCCTGATTGCCTTTTAAATATATATTGCATTTCATGCTTATCCCTCTTTCATGCTTTCTATCAAGTGGGAAGAGCTGATATTGATATTGACACAAGTAATCAAACAGACCAGATTGACTGAGAAGATGAGAGATGCTCATTAGATATGGAGCAGGCCAGCAATCGGGTGATTGCTAACTTTTCTGTGTGAATTTGGTGCTGAGAACCACAGGAAGTTTTTATAATGATCAAGAAAACAATAATTAAAAAATATTCAGTGTGGATCAAGGAGAAAAACCTAGAGGATATAGAAGTAGACTACCCAGTGACACAACATTTTGATTAATCAGTACATCAAATAATTATAGGTAGTCCTCGACTTACGACCACAATTGAGCCCAACATTTCTGTTGCTAAGTGAGGCAGTTAAGTGAATTTAAGTGACAAGTGACAAACTGCGGTTGGTAAATGAATAACATGGTTATTAAGTGAATTGGGCTTTCCCATTGACTTGGCATGTTAGAAGGTTGAAAAAGGGGATCATACAACCCTGGGATCAATGTTTGGATTCAGCCGGTTCTCTCCGGATTGGGCGAACCGGTAGCGGTGACTGCGGGAGGCTCCGCCCACCCGCCCGGATGTAATGCGCGAGCACTGAGCATGCACAGAAGGCCATGCGCATGCATATAGGAGGTGCGTGCGCTCGCATTTGTGAACCGGTAGGGAAGGTAAGTGAATCCCACCTCTGCCTGGGATGCTGTAACCATCATAACCATCATTTCCCTATAACTATCATTAAGTGTTGTACCTTATGATTCTTGATGAATATATCTTTTTTTTTATGTACTCCGAGAGTGTATGCACCAAGACAAATACAAGGAATTGGACACACATCACACTTGGCCAATAAAGAATTATGTTCTGTTCTGTTCTGTTCTGTTCTGTTCTGTTCTGTTCGGTTCGGTTCGGTTCGGTTCGATTCGATTCTACAAATATGAGCCAGTTGTCAAGCATCTGAATTTAAATCACGTGACCATGGCGAGACTGCAACAGTTGTAAGGATGAAAAACAGTCATAAGTCACGTTTTTCAGTGCCCCTGTAGCTTTGAACGGTCACTAAATGAATCGTTGTAAGTCGAGGACTACCTGTCATCCGTCCATCACCACAAATTTCGTTCTCTCGATTTTTCTTTTTCTTTCTTTTCCCTGTCTTCCCATTTCCCTGCACTTTTACAAGCCCTTGCAATCTTGGCGGGTTTTACTTCTTCCAGAGCTTTCCGCGTCAGAAAGTTATTTTGCATCATTAGAGACAAGGTTATTCCTGACACTTTAAAGTAATGCGGTTTGCATAGGCATGTGCAGGTGCATTGATTTTGCTTCCTAATGATGTATCTATCTGCTCTAGTTAAAACATTCATACGATCTCATCAGTATTCATTTTTTTATTCGCAGGGTAGTCAGCAGATCACCGTAAGATTATCGAGGAATTGTTTCATTTCAAAAGAAGTTCAGAATCAAATATTAGCCAGCTGGATCCTTCCTTTTTCTGTGTGCCTCAAATTCAGGGGAGAGAATGAAAAAGGGAGGGGAGAAGGGAGGGGAGGTGGGGAGAGGTAATACATATAGGCAAAATAATTTCCTTCTAAGATCTTTCAATTCAAGGTCACTTTGATTTCCAATCAGAAGCATGAAGGGTGTTTCGTTTAAAAAAAAAAAACAACTTGAAAAAGTTTTAAGGGTTTTTGAAGCCTGGAGGCAAGGAAATTAGGCTGGCAGGCTGTAGGTTTATAATTACAAGAAAGTCAGAAATGTAAAAAAAAAAGTTTCTTCAGAGGCTGCAGGGATTCAACACTGCTGGTGGCACCAGCCTTTCCTAGTAGATTCAGGGGTGGCCTGCTGGGGGTTCGCAGGGGTTCAGGAGAACCTCTAGCTAAGATCCTGTGCAGTTTGGAGAACCCCCAAATTCCACTCCTGGCTGGCCCCTCCCAGGATGCAGGTATGTGCAGGGCGTGCTTGGGGAAGGCGAAAAACGGGCCTACTGGAAGTTCAGGAAGGCTGGAAACGGGCCTGTTTTCGCCTTCCCAGAGGCTTGAGAAAAGCCTCCGGAGCCCGGGGAGGGCAAAAACACCCCCCCCATGGGGCAGGAGGCCAACTAGGCCACGCCCACCCAACAACTGGGCAGAGAATCTCTTGGTAAAATTTTTGAAGCCCACCCCTGAGTAGATGGCTTTGGACAAAACTTGGTTCCCCCCACCCCTGGCAAAGACTATGGTGCTTATTTATTTTATTTTATGGATTGATTAATTTAATTGGCATGGCCACCCGTTTCACCAAGTAACTCAATGCTGCTTGGATATGCTGGATTATTTCTTCCTATAAAACGGAAGCAGAAAGAGAGCATCCAATAAAGAGAACAACAAGGAATGTTGTAAAAAATAAATAAATGCAGGTCTGATTCTTCAGACTTTGGGATTTGGG